AATCGTCTAACTGGTTAATACAAAAACTAGAATTTGGTGCTGAAAGTTGATTGAGATTTGGATTAGGAAAAGGTTGTGGGTCTTGAGATTATGTTTGGTATTGGAAATGTGGTGAAACAAAATTTGCTTGGTGATGAAATTATGGTGGAACCATTAAATTTTACGTTGAAGAACTTAGTTGATTACTACCCGCTACTGACCCAACTTCACTACTTATAGGTTCAACAACATACAATGTAACATCATCTTCTTGCGAAACACTAATGTAAGCAATGAATCGTTCAACATCTTCATTTTCGGTTAACAAATAAACTTTACCTTTTCTCAGATAAGATAATCTAAATCCACTTAGAAGCTCTAAATTCAATTTTTTTGTAACATGTAACATTAGAGTTTCATAAGTTATCTTTTTTAATGACAGTTTTAGTTGAAGATTCATCGGTAAAGACACATATTGTAAGACACCATGAACATTCTCCCATGACCCTCCAAAACACAAATCTATCCAAACATGATCAACATTAGATGATTTCATTCTAAAAATTGTAAATTAATTTACTAAACAAACGAGCTATAAACTAGATATCATCACTAACTTAGAGAAAAATATATCTTTATTAAGTTGATAGTTGATAATTTGGGAGAGAAATCATTGAAAATTATATAGAAATAAAATTATGTAAAAAAAATTAGAGATGGGGAAGGATGTCGTTGGATATAGGAACGGATGTCGCCGGAGAGAGTGATAGATGGAGATGGAATGAGTTGTGATTTAGGGATTTAAGTTATGAGTTACTGCTGCTGCATTGTTATATACCCAAAACATTTGTGTTGTGAAACTAAATTTGTGTTGCGAATTTGAAATTCAGTTGCGAATTTGAAATTCTGCGTTGCGAATTTGACTTTTGTGTTGCGAATTTGACTATCGCGTTGCGAATTTGACTATCACGTTGCGAATTTGACTTCTGTATTGCGATTTACAGATTCGCGTTGCGAAATTGGAAAATCGCAATGCGAATTTGGAAAATTGCAATGCGATTTACATATTCGCGTTGCGAAATTGGAAACTGGGTTGCGAAATTGGAGTTTGCGTTGCGAATTTGTTGGTCATTTTGGCAAATCTAAAAAAAGTTGGTTAAATTCGTATATTATTAGGCATTTTCGGTCACTGAGGTTATTTTCTCTTAAAAGAAATACATATAATCATACTGGCTCTGATTAATAACAGAACCATCGAAAATAAAATATTCTTTCATTGAAGTGTTTTTCATATTGTCAACTCGTCTGAGTTAATTTGTCTAAGCCAATCCGTACCTTTGATCAAAAAGTCAATTTTTTTGAAAAGTTATATTTTATGTTTTTCGATATCTTGAGTCCGAATTCGAAGTTTGTTTTTCCAAATTCACACTCGGTAAGCCGTTTTTCAGTGTTTTATCTTTGGATTCAATTTGGTTTTTTGATTAAGTTCAGTTTCTGACGTAAATTCGTTTACTATGTATCTGAGAAATTATTAGACATTGGATTCAAGTTTGAGAGTGATCGACTGGAGTTTAAATGTTCGATCGGTGGAGGACAAAAATTGAAGTAATACTTTACTACCTCTTTGCATGTTATATGGAGCATGTTGATAATGGATAAATGCATGAATGCAAATGATTGGTCTATTATGCATGTTTAAGTGATAAATTGGTTAAGACACGATTGAATTACTTAAAGGAATTGAAAGACTGATAAGAAATGATTTCAAGTACATTGATTAGTCTGAAGAGCTAATAATATCATAATCTCTAAATTATATTTATCATCGCTAAAAGCTTTAATATTGAAATTACCTAAGTAAAAAATACGAAATTGCCCATATAAGGTAAAAATGGCTCGGACTGACCTGAGAGCGAAAGTACCTTGAGAATTTGTATTTTAATTCGATAAATCATTGTTTCATCAGTTAAATTCCTGACATGCTCGGATAGTCACTAATAATTAGATCCTAACATTCGTGAAGGTACAAGACCTATAATTGTTGATTTATCAGCAAACACCTAAAGACTAAAATATTGAAAGTATTATTCATGTTTGAATTATTCAGAAAAATTGAATTAAATGGAAAGATTGGACGGAAGGAAATGATTGGAATACCCTTGAATTTTAATTTGACCAAAATGTCATTACACTGCTAAAATACCAAGATTACCTCTAAAAGCTAAAAAGAATACTGAATGAATATATCTGACCAAATTACCAGAAAAGGTACATATGTTTGGATTGATCAGAATTACCGAAATGTCTTCAAGCTACAAAATAACTAAAATAACCTTCAATGTTCAAATAACCAAAATACCCTTAACTCTAAAGGAATCAGAATACCTTGAAGCCTAAGATGATCGAATTAACCTCTACTGTTGAAGTGGTCCATTTTTCTAATGACTTAAAATAAGTTGATATTGTTGCAATTCATGAATAAATTAAACATCACTGAAATATTTGTTCATCATGTAAAGATTTCAGTGGGTATAAAAGAATGTATTATCTCAGCATGTCATTCACCATCGCTTGGTAGTTTTGTATTACGTAGCTTCCCAAAGCTCACTTTTTTTTACTCATCATTTCAGGTTAAAATAATTGTACCAGTGCAACTATCGACATCAGTATAGGAGTTCTACCGACGTTACTTGCGAAGTGCGATGCATGTGATTAAGGGACATGTAATTTTTATTTTATTTTTATATATGAGTCTGAAACCTGTTTTAATTCTGGATATTGTTAAATTTTACTCTTAAAATATAAATTGTTTTACAGTTTTACGAGCTTTAACAAAAATTTTAATTTTTTTCAAATTTTTTTTAGTGAGTCGCTCTAATAATCTTAACGTAACACCTCATATCATATCAGACGACCTCCATCGGAATGTGGGTGTTACACTGGACTACTTTCGGCATCCCAAAGCTCAAGGTTTGTAAGTTATGGGTATGGGGGAGGTGAGCAGCATCATAATGGCATGCAGCCAACATCCATATCACGTGCATTGTATTTCATGGCATGATCAATAATGATGGGGGATCACTTATAAAAGTAATGATTTGATTGGTTGAAATGAAGCAAGGAATAAAGTTAAAAAAGTGGATGAGGATGAGGCTTTAGGTTTAAGAAACCAATCATTTCTATATTTACTATTTACTTTCCAACATTATATCTATTGCATACTTATATATCACCATTACATCAAATAATATTACTCTTATATATATATATATATATATATATATATATATTTATTCATCATTAATAAAATATATAATAATATATTATTATTTTTTTATATGAATCAAAGTATTCATTAAAGATTACAATAATTAATCTTTTGTCGTGAATACTCTCTAAAAATATTCAAGGAATAAAATAAAATAAAAAATTGGAAGAAAAAAATTATTAAAGAAACTTTTAATGAAAATTATTTGTTGTTTAATTATTCCATTGAAAATATGTTAAAAATAATTATATACCCACGTTGACGAGAAACTATTAAATATTAAACTATCATTATTTTTAAATATTTTAAATTTTAAATAATTTATTAGTTTTATTTTTTAAAGATTAAGTAAACCTTAAAATTTTGTAAAAAAAATAATGATATACCTTTTCATTTTTAAAATCATTATTTATATATAAACTATTACATCAACATTGTAAATTATTATATTAATACAGTAACGATCAATAACAATTTTTATAGATCAAATGATTTATGTCTAAAGTTTTTTAATTTAAAATTTTAATTAAGAATAAAACAATAATTAAAAAGTTATTGTTTTTTTAAATTATAGCATCTCATGAATCATTAAACCTAAATAATATTAATAAACATAATAATACGTCATAGTATGAACAATTTTCAACTTAAAGGAAAAAAGAAAGTCTTTTACTCGGTTGTATAACAGTATCTTAGCCGAAATAACAACTTTCCTCCAATGAGAGGCAGCCACGTCAATGCCGGGAATCCGAGGCTATCCATTAACGGACGTTAACGAACCTAACCTCAAAGATCTGGAAAGGCGTTAAAGGAGCAACGAGACAGAGATCCAACGGCTGGGAAGCTCTGGTGGCAACTAACTAAAACAAAATCCCATCCGGTCAACCTTGAGTTTTCACCAATAACTGAAAGCCACGTGTCTCATCGCCATCCTTGGCCCGCGACAGCTTAGAAGATCCAGCAGATTACCTGGAATAGCCGGTGGCCAACCACATAGCAACAAAGGAACAACAAGTTTAATTTTATTTTATTTACTTTAGTTTTCATCGTCCAATTCTCTCTTCTGTTCTCAGGGTTTTCTCTTTATCTCTTGGATCAATCTTACAATCTCACCAAATAACAAAATTTAAGCGCCAAGCACCAAGAAATCCACCATTTCTACACCCCCTTTGTGAGCTTTTCTTTTCAGCTTTACTCGAATCTTTGGAGTTTATTGTTTATTGCTCTAGTCATCTGTTTTTTTTTCCTTTCTGAAATTAATATTTTGATGTTGTTTTCATCGATTGGATGCTTTTTTCCGGAGTTATGATCGGGGGTTCTTTTAATTTTGCCCACTGCTTCGAGTTCTTATAAAAAAAAACCCAATTTTTACCTGGTTAGTTGGATACCTTCATCAAGGGTAATTTAAGGGCTTAGTTTCATGTAAAGATTGAATCTTTTTCATGCGAACTGCTTAAGGGTAGTTTGATCTGGGAGTTGACTTCGATTCCTTGCTGTTGGATAGAAAATTTTACAGCGTTCTTATTGCTTGGGTGATTTATTCTTATTAGCTATTTTGTTTATCCGAGGGGCTTTGATTTTCTCTGAAGAATTATAAGTTGGGTTAGGTTTTTGAATATTCAAGCTTTATTGGGAAAATTTGTGAGAAGTGGCTATATAGAATTCGGTTGTGTTTATTTAAAGGGTTTGGCTTATATTGCTTTAACTTGAAAGTGTTCTTCCGAGGTATTCAATTTATGGTTGGGAAAGGAATATGGCTGCGCGTATGGATATTTCACCTCCATTGCCAATCATAGAAGGTGGTTACACTAAGGGTAATGTATCAGACATGGATAATGAAAAACAAGTCACTCTCGGGAAACCTCCACGTCACACCTCGATTATGCAGCATTGTGTGAGTTCGGGGAGGATGATTGCTGAGGCTAATTTGGTATGTTTAATCTTTTGTCTAATCTAGCCCCTCTTTTGATCATTATGAGTTGCAGGAGCCTGAGCTTTAAGGACCTTCTACATTAGCATAAACTATGAATGCAGCTTAGTTGTTATTTAAAATGAAAATTCACTTATAATTGTGCTACATTGCATAAGGGCACTGATGAATCCTTTGGGAGTAATTGTAATCCTCAAGTGGCGTTTTTAAGACTATTTTTGCTGCATAACCTTTTGGCTTTTGACACGTTCTCAGATTAGATCGAGTTTTTAGGAGAAAATAAGGATTATACTGTTTATATTTTGTGTTTCGACTTTCTCACACACCATTTTGTTAAATGCTTTGACTTACTGCTTTTCTCTTCTCCAGGAATTGGATGTTGGTATTGTAGTTCACAAGTCATCTTCTGATGATAAAACTGAGTTTTTGCCTGTCATGCGATCGGGAAGTTGTGCTGAAATAGGACCCAAACAGTATATGGAGGATGAACACATTTGCATAGATGATCTTCTCGGACATCTGGAGATGAATGCAAAGTTACCTTCTCCAGGAGCTTTCTATGGGGTATACTTGTTAGAATATACAATATATGACCTGCCTCATGTGGTTAATATGTGATCTTGAGTTGAACCATCTTAATTTATGTGGTATCTGATTTATGCACTTCCTTCTATCTGTCATCGTTGATAGTCTGTAGTGAAAAACTCATGTTCTTCTAATGCTTCTACTGATATCGTATCGTTTGGCCATTGAACCTTGAGAATCCATGTCGACAGGTTTTTGACGGTCATGGGGGAACAGATGCGGCAGTATTTATTAGGGAGAATATCCTGAAATTCATAGTTGAAGACTCTCATTTTCCAATTTGTGTGGAGAAGGCGATGAAGAGTGCTTTTCTGAAAGCCGATTATGCCTTTGCAGATGCTAGTTCTCTGGATATATCCTCCGGCACCACTGCATTAACTGCTCTTATTTTTGGAAGGTAAGTGAGCCACTGATCGGCAACGGTATTATTCCTTTTTGGATGTTATTTCCGTGAATCCTTTTCTAACATTAGTATCTGTTTAAAGAACCTTGGTTATTGCAAATGCTGGAGATTGTCGAGCTGTGCTGGGAAGGCGAGGTAGAGCGATTGAAATGTCCAGGGACCACAAACCCAATTGCACATCTGAAAGAATAAGAATCGAGAAACTCGGCGGAGTAATTTATGATGGCTACCTTAATGGGCAATTATCTGTGGCACGTGCACTTGGAGACTGGCACATGAAAGCGCCAAAGGGATCTGCCTGTCCTTTAAGTGCAGAGCCGGAGCTGCAGGAGACGGACCTGAGTGAGGAGGATGAATTCTTGATAATGGGGTGTGATGGGTTGTGGGATGTTATGAGCAGTCAGTGTGCCGTGACTACGGCAAGGAAAGAGCTGATGCTTCATAACGATCCCGAAAGATGCTCAAGAGAGCTTGTGAGGGAGGCATTGAAGCGCAACACTTGTGATAATTTAACGGTGATAGTGGTTTGTTTCTCAGCTGATCCTCCCCCTCGAATAGAAATACCACAAAGCCGTGTTCAGAGGAGCATATCATCGGAAGGGCTGAATTTACTAAAGGGTGTGCTGGACTGTAACTGATGAAACAGGGGATGGTTGAAAGATAATTTGCTCCCAAACGCATCGGAGGGCGAAATGGTCGTGGCATTTTTCTACTGAGTAGCTGCAGCTGCCCCATTGCACCATGGCTGACATTCAGGGACATCCTTGTCATGTAGAATATATGATTCTTTTGGAGTTTTGAAATCCTGTTCACCAGAGATACCTCATCTTCTTCCTCCTGTGTAAATAAACTGAATCTTGAGAGATATGTGTTTACCACTCTTGATAAATTAAATAATTGATATCATTCACCATTAATGGTTGGAGTTTTCTCGGTACCATGCCCGGTTTTTTTTTTTTACGTTGGAAGATTTCCATAACTAGTCGCATGCAAATCTGATTTGCCATGGGTCATCAAACCATGCTAGGGGTGTGTAAAACTCGACACTCGATTCGACCCTAAAAATTTAATTCGATTTCAAATAAAGTTTGAGTTATAAAATGTGACTCAAATAATTCGAAATTTTTAGTAATTAATAGACTGGTTTTTAAGTTTAAATCGAGTCTCTTAATTCTACATTATATATGTATATCATTTATGAAAAAATATGATGAAATATATATGTATATCGTCTATAGTTTTAGAAATCCGTTTAAATTAAAATTAATTAATACCATAACATTATAAATACGACATAATGTCAAAAAATGTCAATAACATATGACTAAATAGTCATTTTGGATCATTTGTTTTGGAACATTTTGACCTCTAACATCCTACTTTAGGGGGAAAAATTCTAAAGTTTGATTAAATAATCATTTTAGCCTTTATTTTATTTATTTTTTTTAGAATTTTAGCTTCCGTTTTATTTAAGATAAAAAGATTTCTATTTTGGAGCATTGATCGTTTGTTGACTAACAGTTTTTATTAATGGAAGGATCTTTTCTTCCCAAAATGAACCATTAGGGATCAAAATGCTAAAAATATAAATATTAACAACTCGACTCATATTTTATAAATTTAACTAAAAAAAATTCAAATAAAATTTTAGTTATAAATATTAAATAAAACTCATCAACTCAATTAACTCAAATCTTTTTAATCGACTCCATTGAATACTTGTCGCTAAACCATGCAAAATGCAATTAAAGTTAAAAATGGAGCGTAGTTGTGTTGGATAAAGTTGAGATGTGTCTGATAACAATTTAAGTTGTCATGTCAAACTATGCAAGAAGGATATATATATGAATACAACAACAACAACAACAAAACCCAATTCCCATATGTATGGGGTAAGGGGGAGGTAGGGTAGTAGGCTGCCCCCAACGCCAGGTTGAGAATAGCTTCCGTGAAAGACCTCCGGCAGTCAGAAAATTAAAAATATAGATAAAATGCAATGCATGTATAAATAATTACATAAATACATAGCTAAACAGTATTCATATGCAGTCATTAATATCATATGTGCTTCTGTAATGGGGAGTAATCCCTGCAAAATAATCCCTGTGAAAGAGTCTCTGCATATAGACAGAAACCTAAGACCCGGCTAAAATTAACATAGGAAACATGATGAGAATGATACACATGAGACAACGATAGCAAGCCCAGTTCTAATATTTCATAAATACCAATAACAGAAAAGTATAAAAAGTAAAAGTCAAGGAAATAACTACAAATGCATTTAAAAGAAGACAAAGATGATACACCCTATAGATGTGACCCACACTACTCGACTACCCTAGTCTTAAGCCTCCATAATTTCCTATCATAGGTCATGTCTTCGGTAAGGCCTAAATCCCTCAAATCAGATCTCAAGCAGTCATCCCACTTCCGCCTTGGTCGTCATTTCCTTCTGGCACCGTCGACTGTAATCGACTCTACCTCCTGACCGCATCCGACGGTAGTCGCCTAAGGACGTGTCCAAACCACCGTAGTCTTCCCTCCCTCATTTTTCGGAAACAGACATCACCCCTAAGGACATCCTAATAGCAGAGTTTGTCGTCATATCCCACAGATTCCTACCACATGTCCATCGAAGCATTCTCATTCTGCGGCCTCTATCCTCCTAACGTGATCCTTCTTGGGTGCCCAACATTCTGATCCATACAACAGCGCTGGTCTTATTGCCATTCTATAAAATTTTCCCTTAAGTTTTAGAGGCACCTTCTTGTCACACAAAACTCCAGTAGCAGCCTCCACTTTAGCCATCCCGCCTTTATACGGTGTGTAACGTCATCATCTACACCCCCATCTTTATGTATCATAGACCCTAAGTACTTGAAACAATCCTTTGAGGGAAGAACGTGTCCTTCGATGCATACTTCTACATTTTCATCATTTGGTTCCCACTGAAGTTTGAACATAAATACTCTGTCTTTTCAATATTGATCCTTAAACCTTTTTCTTCCAAAGCAGTCTTCCAGGTAGCCAGTCTGCTATTCAACTCAGATTTTGTTTCAGCCACTAAGACAATGTCGTCAGCGAAAAGCATACACCAAGGTACACCGTCTGGTGTCGCACAATAGATGTCGTCCATAATCAAGGCGAAGATGTAAGGGCTAAGAGCCGACCCCTGGTGGAGTCCGATTTCCACCGGGAATGCCTCGGTGTCGCCAACTGTAGTCCTGACGTAAGTAGTAGATCTACAGTACATATCACGAATCGTCCGGATATAAGCAGTTGGTATCCGTCTCGTTTCCAAAGTCTTCCATATCGTATCGCGAGGAACGCTATCATAGGCCTTCTCAAGGTCAATGAACGCCATGTGGAGATCTCTAGACTTTTCCCTATATTTCTCCATAAGCCGTCGAAGTAGATGAATCGCCTCCGTGGTAGACCTGTTTGGCATAAAGCCAAATTGGTTTTCCGAAACCCTAGTGACTTGTCTCAACCTAGCCTCTATCACCCTTTCCCATAGCTTCATGGTATGGCTGAGTAGTTTAATACCTCTGTAGTTACCACAACGTTGGGGATCTCCTTTATTTTTATAAATTGGTATCACCGTAGACTCTCTCCACTCCTCTGGCATCTTGGCAGTCTCTAAAATAATATTAAAGATGTTGGTCAACCACTTAACTCCCTCATCTCCTAAGGCTAACCACACAGTGATAGGAATTTGATCAGGACCGACAGCTTTCTCCCTTCCCATCTTTCTAAGAGCCATTTTGACTTCCTCAAACCCAATCCTACTTGTAGGGCAGTCATTGGCCGTAGTATGATGGTCGGCTGACCCAACAACGATATTATCTCTACATGGAGAGGCACCGTCATTAAATAAGCCAAAGAAGTAACTACCCCAAACCCTCTTAATATCCTGTTCTTTCGTTAAAAGAACACCATTGTTGTCCTTAATAAACCTAATGTTACCTAGATCTTTTTTCCTAGTCTCCCTAGATTTTGCAAGTCTGAATATGCCATTTTGTCCTTCCTTAGTGTCTAATCTCTTGTACATTTCCTCATATGCCTTATCCTTTGCTTTAGCTACCGTTTTCTTGGCTTCCGCTTTGCCTCCTGGTATCTTTGTTTAGCTCCCGACCTTTCTTCGTCGTCATTGCATTGAAGAAACTCCTTGAAGCAAGTTTGTTTTGTCTTCACCTTAGTTTGGACTTCGTCGTTCCACCACCACGATTCTTTATGTACCTTGGCCTTCCCCGTCGACAACCCAAGGGTTTTTTGCCCACCTCTCTGATGGAATTTGCCATATTTTCCATAACATATCTGCGTTATTTGAGTTTGTAGTTTCAAAACTTGTATTAGACAAAAGCTTACTCCTAAAGTCATCAGTTGTCGCTCCATGTAAGTTCTTCCAGAGGATCCTAGGTTTACCCAGTTTAGCCCTCCTATGCGTGCTCCGCCCGTTGGGTACGCGGAACACCAAAACCAACAATTTGTGTTGTGATGTACATGCCTCTTCAGGGAACACCTTACAGTCAATGCAAGCCCATCGTTCCCGATTTCTAACCAAGATGTAGTCGATTTGGGTACAATGTCCCCCACTGTGAAACGTAATCAAGTTCGCATCTCTTTTATTAAATAAGGAGTTAGTGATCACTAAGTCGTGAGCAGTAGCAAAATCAAGCAACGTACGCCCCTCATCATTCCTGTTACCATAACCGAAACCTCCATGAACACCGTCATACCCGTCGATTGCACTACCTATATGGCCATTGAAGTCTCCCCCTATGAAAACTCTTTGGTCCTCCGGGATGCTCCTAAGTACAATATCTAACTGATCCCAGAAGCAACGTTTCTCCCCCTCCCCTAGGCCAACGTGTGGAGCGTACACTGAAAGGACATTAACCACTTCCGCTTCTATAATAACCTTAATCATCATGATCCTATCCCGGTATCTACAAACTTCAACAACATTTTCCTTGAGACTAGAGGATACCAAGATACCCACCCCATTTCTAGCGTTATCTACTCCTGAATACCACAACTTGTACCCATTACACTCTCTGGCGCGAGCCCCTTTCCACCTAGTCTCCTGAATACATGCAAATCTATTTTCCTATTACTAAGTACGTCGGTCAGCTCCAGCAGCCTAGCATTTAATGTGCCTACATTTAACGAACAAACTCTAAGTCTAGTCTCCTTGACACCACTCCGTTGAGCCCTCCCCCTATACTCCCTATGAGATCTAAAAGAATGACATGACCTCACGTAATCATCTATAATCGAAGCTATGTGGGACTATGAAAAAGAATATCCAAAGAAGAAACCTTTCTGAAAATCCTTAGACCCGAAAATGCAACACCCAAAAAGCAAAAACAGTTTATAAATATTTATAACAGATATACTCAATTTGAAATATAAATAATGATATAAGATACTAGAGGTATAGGACAATGAAAAAAAAAAAATGATCTAGTAACTCCTACCCAGAGCAATATAGCAAAATATAGATCCAGTAGTGCCTTATAATGATTTTTAATTTAATATCAAGTAATATAAATATGATTATAATAGTGTAGTAAGTGATAATTCCAAAAATAAAAATACTAAACAATCACATAGATACACCTACTATTAATACAGAATCAAAACTAGTCGTAAAAGTAGCATAATACGTTTAAATATCTGGCCAACTACTATATGTACCTGACCGGCAAGTAAGAAGTAGTTGCTATTTTTTGGCGGGATTATTTTCCGACGAAGGTTCTGCTGTGGAACTTTAATGGGGTAGCCGGAGTCACCTGTAGAGATCACCGGTGGAATATGGTTGCGGTAACGTTCACCTGCAAAAAGCAAAAGTAACTCCAACGAATATCGGGAGAGAGAGAAGGTTCCACACTTTCCTTTCTGGATCTCCAG